CTCCTCCTCCTCCTCCTCCTCCTCCTCCTCCTCCTCCTCCTCCTCCTCCTCCTCCTCCTCCTCCTTCTTCTTCTCCACCTCCACCTCCTCCTTCTCCTTCTTCTTTTAAAGACAGGGTTTCTCTGTAGCTTTGGAGCCTGTCCTGGAACTCGCTCTGTAGACCAGACTGGCCTTGAACTCACAGAGATCCGCCTGCCTCTGCCTCCCAAGTGCTGGGATCAAAGACGTACATCCACCACTGCCCTACTTGTCTTGATTTTTGAAGCAGGGCTTCTATAGCCCAGGCTGACCTTGAATGCTTAATCCTTCAGCCTCAGCCTCCTGAATCCTGAAATTATGTGCAAGTACCCCAGTACCCAGCAGCCTCCACCCCGTCACCCTGAAAAAAGACAACTCTTAAGGAGCCAAACTGTTTATGGAAGCTAATGAGCCCCACCATGAGTTTGTGTGGTCGTTACTGCTGGCCTGAATGATTAGTTCACAATACAACTCTGAAGCGGGGAGCTAGAAACAAAAGATATTTTGTGATTTGAAAGCTGTTTGCATATTTCAAAAAGTTAGGACTGGCCTTCCAGTCTTGGGTTCTTTATTAAACAGTGTTGCAGTGGTCACATTCCTGCAGTGACCCAATGGGGTGACACATAAAGCATTCCTGAAGACTCAGAACACTCAGGAAGAGTTCTGTGGTAAGCCAGTCTGATGATGTCTCCTTCCTACCGGATGCTGCAGAGTCCCTGCTACACAGGTGTGCAGTGCCCCTCTCTGTGGAGAGAGAACCCCTCCTCTGTCTCAGGTTGTTTGGCCCTCACAGAGGCTGCAGGACTACTCTGGTAGAAAGCTCACTCTGAGGCGCACCAAGTGAGTGACAGCTGTACAGACTTCCGCACCTTGCAGCCTGCCCAGCTGCGGGCAGTCCAGGAATAGAGTTGGAAGAACATGCTGGAAGGATGCTGGCAAATCAATGGTATGGTTCTGTTTGGTAAAACTAATCCAGATTTACCTGGGGACAACCAAAATGTAGCAAGGACTAGATGTGAAAAGAGATTGGTATCTGGTGTGGATCTGAATGGTGTGATCCTGGCCTCTCTCGGAGTCTGTTTTTCCATCTCTAACAGGATTTGGTGTTAGGTGAGCTCAGATCATCCCTAGCTCGAGATTTCAGTAAGCCAGGAGCCACGTGACCTGTTAGCAGAGCCTGTCCTGCTAACAATAAAGAGTGGCCTTGGGCTAGAGAAGAGCAGTTCTCGCCCAAGGAGCCAGAGCAGGCTGGGGGACTTCACAGGCGGGCGTCTGTTTGGACAGCTTACACATTTGGGAATCTGTCTTGTTCTGGTGATGTCCTGAAGGTCATATTTATAGACGCATTTTGTCAATGATAGATCTCTGTCATGAGTCTAATTGAGAAAGACCAGTACTTTTCAAATACGTCACACTCATTCAGGCTGCACTCATCTTTAAAACACACAAAGACATTTCTGGTGGGATCTGGTTTGGTTATTTGGGAATGTATTTAATTTTTCCCCCTTCATTTAATTTTTGTCTACGGTCAGTTCAGGCTGAAAACGTTTGTTTGTTTGTTTGTTTTTTCTTTATCCTAGCAGGAGTGGAGGCCATACACTTTTGGGGTGGTCGGCTGTTCACAGGCAGATACTCCCCTTCTCCAGGTGGCTGCTATTCTCATCTGAAGAAATGGGAGGGGCAGCCAGCTCTAAATTCCTATAATTATCATTCTTTTTCCTTTTCTGGGGCATGTCATAGTGTCCTGGGCTTTTTTCTGTGTGGTACATACTGCATTTCGAATGATCTTTTAAAAATATTCATTTATTTTTTTGAGAGAGGGTCTTGTGTATCCCAGGCTGGCTTAGAACTAACTCACAGGCCCCGTTCCTCTACTCCCTGAGTGCTGAGATTGTGAGAAGGAACAGTCGTAGCAATAATTCATTAATTCCTATGCCTGCCTAATTAAGCTGTCTGGAGGCAGAGCCTGAGCCTGCTTTATCTAAGCATTCTCATTTCCCCAGTGAAGCTATCAAGTGGACAGTTTAATCCCAGCCATACCGTCCAACTCTTCCTCTAGTGTCTTGTTAATTGTTAAGAAGTTATTATCACTTGCCTGGCTTATTAAAGTCATTTTTTCTTGGCTATAGAACATTCAAATTGAAGGGGAAGTGGCCTGGTGGCCATGTGGCGGCCGTGCCATCTGAGGATGCTATGGAACTGGGGGAGCTGCACCAGAACATTTCTGGGGAACAGCTGAGAGGCAGTAACCTCCACTGAGGCTTCTTTTGCCCTGGGGACTGGGATGCCCAGCTGTCCACTGAAAGCACCGGCTGCTTGGAGTTCCTGTCACTGTCACAGGCCGCGCAACAGCCTGTGAACCTTTTATCCGAGACAGCGTTCACTTCTCCTCAGCACATGTGTGTCATTGCTGTGGCCTCCTTTTCCAGAGCAGCGCCTGGAACTGCACAGGTTTTCCTGGCTGATAGTTGTTGATGACTATGTGAGGAGCCAGGTTGGGCTAGATGACTGTACTCAGACTGTACAAGCTGAGCCACTGGGGTCTCTCTAGGAGGTCATAGCACCAAACTAGGCATGGTTTCAGATGTCTTTGGAGTGAGATGTCTTCTGGTCATGCTGAGCTGGGTTTTGATGGGAAGCGTGGTCATGCTGGTGGCTTTTCTTCTAGATCCTTCATGAAGGACCCCTTAACCCAGTGGCTCACCTGGGAGGAGGATATTGCTGCCACCAGCCTGGTAGGACACACCAGGTCTCAGGTGCTGTGTATGGAATCAAAACAGGAATTGTTTCTTGCTCAGTTTTGTCTTGAGTGGAAAGTTTGACTTCTAGAGCCGCACCATTTGGAAGACTTTACACTTTAGTTAAAACAATCAGTTAGGTGACCAGAATCTAAAGTTTAAAAGAAATAAAATTGGAAGAAACTTGTGTAACAGCTATTCTTGGTTGTCATGGTGACTATATCTGGAAATAAAGCCAAAGCTGCTGCCTATCCTTTGGATTGGGGTTCATTGCTCACCAACCCTTTGCCAGGTGTTCATCCTGGCACCATGCATTTCAGGATTGCAGAGGAGGAAGCTCAGATCTTAAGAGGAAGCCACGGGCATTGATTAGCACCATGATACAGGTCTGGGGGCAGGCACGTGTGAACTGGTAGAAAGTCTTGTGATGGGCCCTGGCATCTAGAACACCATAGAATATGGGGTCTCCAGATGGGGTGCAACGGAACAGGCTATGGAAAAGTCTCGGGCTGCTTGGGGTCTGTGCAAGGAACCCCCAAGGGCTTTAGCTTTTTCAGCCAGCACCTCCAAATGTCAGCTCACAAGTAAGCTTGTGGTAAGCTAATGCCCAGGTCTGTTTTTATAAGAGCTGCCAGCCACATCCTGCCTCTTTCTGCGCTGACGTGATTATGTAATTAGCTTTAACCCAAATGCAGGACTTCCTACTTATTCATTTGATTCCTGTTGACTTCATCCTGCCCTACTCGAGAGTCTTTTAAGGTAATTTTATACCCAGCCTGCCATCGGCACATGGAGGGATCCTTGTGGGTCCCATGTTGTCTAGAGATGAATGCAGCTGCTATGTCCTTCAAGTCATCCATCCGATCACTGCCAAAATCAGTTTCATATGTACACTACTCCCTAGCAGCTCTCACCAAAGAAGCAAAGAAACGGGGTTCTGCATGAACTTGCCAGTACCTGCTTAGCTGTGTTTCTCAGTTTCACTAAAAATAGACGCAACAGTCAACAAGGAGTCTCATCATCCCTTTTGTGAAAACAATTTGACTCTGTTTTTAACCGCTCGCTATAGTTTTTCAAAGGCTCTTTAAGTGACCAGATGGAGACAGGTATTTTCTAGGCCTTAGGACACTCCGTCCTCCTTAAATCCTGGGAATCTGCTCTCACACCAAGTGGAGTCCTTTCCTATGGCCGTCACCTGCTCCTCCTCGGGCTTTCCTTTGCTATAGAATGCCCGTTGTAGTTTGCTGAGAGTGTTTCTCATATGCTATTAGGCCACCTAAGCCAAGTTCTCCCAAACTCATTTCCTTCTAAGAGGAAGGTGTAGCAAGGTGGGCTCATCGTTTCAACGGGGTCTCACTCTTGGCCCTGAGTGTAACTGCAAGATTTGAATGTCCAAGATAGTCTTGTTCACACTTGTTCTCACTCTGCAGTCATGGGTAGAAGCCATTTCCCCTTTAAACATCACTTTCACAAATATATGCTCTCTTTAGCACCTTCTATGAGTAAGATAGTTTGTTCTCGTGGCTGACAGCCTAATGGGGGTGTTGGGCAAGGAAGCAGTAACTACAGTACAGTGCGTCAAATGCCGACATGGTCATATGCTAACCTATCTCCAGGCTGTAAGGGTGGGCCTGGCCCTAAAGGGTTTTAAGATGATGGGGGGATTCTAGGATAAGATAGGAGGCAAATGCACAACAGAGTGGTTGTAGGGCGAGTGAAGAGAGAGACCTGCTGGTAGGACTTGGGACTTGGCAGGAGGCTGTGGCTGGGGAGAAGTTGAACAGCAGCTGGGTTTTGGCATTTACAAAGAGAAGAAAGTGCAGGAGGCCCTGACCATGGGCAGACAGAGGGAGGAAGGATGGAGTTTCCCAGGAAAGCAAAGTGGGGAACCCCAGAATGCAGGAGAGAAATCTAGAGCTTCCTAAATTCTCTGAAAAAAGCCACTGTTTTGCACAGTGAGATCTGCTCTCGGACCCCACACATTAAGTTCAACAATGTACAACCCCCAGACCTATCAGGAGCCAATTCGGTGAGAAAACAAAACATCAACTATGTGTTTCGTTGCTATGGCAATATTTCTAAGAGCTTACTTTCGATTTCCTTACCTGCACAGCAGCCCTGGTCCAGAGATGACTTTAAGTGGTTCTGGTCTAGGCTTACGTAGGTGTGTGTGAGCTGAAGTTTTACTCTGAAAGTTACCATCAGAAGTGGTAGTTGAGGCCATGTGCAGGGCGTGATTGAGGAGCTGGGATGGACAACAATCCCCTCGTCCTGTAGAGATACAGGCTTCCAAAGCCAGGGCTCTGACCCTTTCAGTAAGGGGTCACTTGATAGTTCATGCTTTGAGGGCCACCTGCATTCTTTGCCCAGCTGTCATTGCTGACCTTGTAGGGCAGTGGCAATTCTGCTGTGGTCTCCCAGCTTCAGTTCTATTGAGGCTCAAGGCCTGATAGTTATTTCTCTCAGGGATTATTCTAGGAAATAGAGGGCGTTCAGCAGCATTCTTGTGTCCATGAGGTTCTACTAACTAATCCCTTCCACCTAGGTCTGCAGTATCAAAAATGTCTGCAGATGTTCGTTACATGTTACTTGCTGGGGTGCAAAACTGCCGCCCGCGGAGAATGGCTGATCTGAGGAGGCACAAACACAAATGCCTGTTCTTGGGGTGTTCCAATAAAACTTTATTTACCAAAACAGGTAAGGGCCTAGATCTGGCTCGCCTATTGTGGGCTCTTGACATAATAGATGGGCAGAAAGAAAGAGCTTAGACAGTGAAAACTGAGGGACTTCTGTTAGTGGCCTGCATATTAAAAGACTCAACCGTAGCTCTCGTTTCTAGCACCATGGCTCACCTTACTCTTGAGATAGGCCTAAAAACCACAAAGGCAGAAAACAGGAAAATAACAAATGACGTAAGTTCTACACAATACCTAAGAACGCCTCCAGGACACACAGCAGTGGAGCAGGGTCACGTGAGGTGAGTTTGGGAAAACTTCCTCCAGGAAGGAAGTGACTGGGAAGCAGAGGATGCTGTGGGGAGTGTTTGATGGTGAGAAGGTGCGGAGGACATTCCTAGGAACACAGAATCCTTGGTCTCAGAACGTGGGGAGGGGAGCAAAGTGTGAGCAGTGACGGAAGAAGCCATTGTCCCCTTGCAGTTGAGCCCCAAGACTGTGCGCTGTCAAGCGCATGTGCTTCCTCTGGAAAA